TGTCATAACTTAAATTGGGGGTAGCAGCATAAACTCATGGTGGGAAAAAATCTGCACCTGGCTCCATCCACTAGGGGCACCTCAGCCAGTGCAGAGACCCTGAGTTCCAGTCCACACTCTCCACTAAAAGGAAGCAGGCACCTTGGAGGAGTGGCTGATTGCAGGTCTGGGCACAGGAAACACAGATGAGCAAGGAGCATCTGGAGATCAGGGAAGTGCTCAAAGATTGGGAGAACCTTTGAGTCCTCAGTGATTTAAAAAAGAACAAGAGCGGTGTAAACTGATGGTGTCCTCAAAACATGTCCACAACCTTATTCCTAGAACCTGGGGATCTGATTTGGAAAAAGGGTCTTAGCAGGTGTAATGAAGCATCTTGAAACCAAAAGATAACCCTAAATTATCCTGTTGGGCCCTTCATCCCCTGTGTCCTTGTAAGGGACAGGGGAGACACACAGGCAAAAGGGGAGGAGCCCTGGGACCAGCACAGAAGAGTGAAGCGCCTGCAGCCTGTGGAGGGTGAGGACGGAGCCTGCCTGGTACACCTGGACATGGGGCAGCTGCCAGCTGCAGCCCTGCCCAGTCCCATCTCTGCAGAGGGCAGGATGGAGGGTCTGCAGCAGGCAAGCCCCTGTCAGCCGGGGAGATGAAGAGGGCACCACTCAGCCCCACAGCTCTCCCGTGGGGCCCCTGAGATGTCCAGGCAAGATGGCACTGCCCCTCGGGGATGCTGAGAGATCCACCAGCAAGGGAGGCAGCTGAGGGTCTGGGGCAGTCAGCGGCCCTCCACTCACCTAGGATCTGCTCAAATGGAGCAGATGGCCCAGGGTCCCTCCCAGGAAAAAGGAACCCCCCCAAAGGGAAGAGACCCTCCATGGGAAGAAAAGGGAGCAAAGGACCACCAAGCAGAAAACTCTGAAACAAAAACCACATGCTTTAGTTTTTTAAATTAAGAGGGAAAAGAAAAAAAAACAAGTCTCGAGCAAAAAATAATAGCAAAAACCAATGTTTTATATCACTGGAAGAGTTCGGTTATAAAGATGACAAAGTTTCCGAAAACTTGAGCAAAAGTCTAAAACGACAGACGTGAAGAAACAAAATGGATGAGACCTGGCAACCCCACACCTGTGGGAGAATGTTTCAGGGAGGGGGGAAGCCAAAGGGCAGTTCAAGTTTTCAGAACTGCAAAGCAAGGACCCTGGTGGCCAAGGCTTGGAGGTGCCTGGCACATGTCACCAGCATCTGCGGACTGGCAGGTGCCCCTGGCTTCACCCCCGCTGCCGCCCACCCCCCGCCCCAGCACAGAGGCCTCACTCTGGGAGGGGCTCTGCACGTGAGCATCGTGGTCCTGAAGGAGGCCAGTGATCCACTGCAGGGATACTGTTCACAAGGACACACTCTGGGCACACGGGCCACGAGAGGCCACCGGAGTGAGGAGTGACCAAGCCCAAGCCAAGCTGTGTGGCAGGAGGATGGCCCCGGGGCAGAAGGAGCACCTAGGACCTCCCAGGAGAAACCAAGTCGCAGAGAGAGAGCAGGGTGCCGGCTGGAGCCTGGACCCAGGAGGGATGGAGACTTGCCTTAGAGGCTTTGAGGGGCCTTTTCTAGAATTCTGCACCACCCGCCTATCACTTAAATGTGAAGACAGAGAATGCACGGCCAACACCTGCCAATCCTCCTCCCTGACATTAGGTGAAGGAAGTCAGGGGACAGGTGATCTCCAGGCCAACAGAGCCAGACAGCTGAGGCCAGGGGCCTCTCCTCGGGGACATCTTGGGGGAGATGACATGGGTGACAAGCGCTGGAGTCCAGTGAGTTAACAGAGCAGAGTCATCAGCTCCAGGAAGCATAAAAGGTGATGGACATACAACCTGGTTCCTGTGGATTACATTTAGTCTGTAATGCCAAATGCTGCACTCGGTCCCTCAGTCGTGTCTGACCCTTTGCGAACCCATGGATGTAGCCTGCCATGCTCCTCTGTCCACAGGATTCTCCAGGCAAGAATACTGGAGTGGGCTGTCATTTCCTCCTCCAACATTTAGTCACATGTGTAAACATGAAATGCTGACCTCCTCAAGATCACACTAAGTCTATGTGGGGGTGAGCATGGGTGGGGGGAAAGTAAAGAGAATAGTCACCTTCTAAAGGGGAAAGTCACGAGGTATACAACAGTATCTACAAACGAAAAACTAGGAAACATAGGATGCTATGGCACAAACACCAAGATCATCAGTTCAGAGAAGAGAAGCGCCCGCCCCTAGGCAGGGAAGAGATGCCCAGGGACACCAAGCAACCAGGCAAAAAGCAATCTTACTTTTTAAACTGTACTCATGTCAAAAACACTACAGGTAATTCCAGCTGAGTCTCTGCCTATGGATTCCCCTAGCAGGTTGTATGACTCTCAGACAATCAGGCCTCTGAGCTCCTCCAACCAGTGACCAGCGCTGACCTGAGGGCTACAAGGACTGGAGCAGGCAAAGAACCCAGGGCAGCACAAGCTGGCCGTGCTCAGGCCCTGGGCCCCGGACCGAAGAGTTACGTGCCAGGAGGGAGGAGGATGGGCCCGCACGGGCTCAAGAGACAGGGGAAGATGGGAGAGAGCCTGAGAGGACATGGGAGGGCCTTTCCAGAAGGGGCTGTGTGTCATCTGGGAGCAGGGACAGTTTTCTCAAACAAGGAGACAAGATTATTATATTAACAAGGAGAGCCAAGACTAGAAATCACCACTCTTGGACACTGTCAGGAGTCGCCAACTCACTTTTCCTGTTAAGCATCTTGGAGTTACCATCCCATGCCCATTACTGACACTGCCTGCACACCTATCTTAAATCTCACAGCTAAATTCACCCACACAGTGAGCTGGCACAAGGCCCGCCTGCCCCAGCCCATCAGCCAGGGCAGCCTCATCACCGCTTCATGTTTACGCTCTAACCACACACCCCCTTCTCTGCATTCCTAGAACACGCCCTGCTCCGGATGCCACAGGGCGTTCCACTCTTTGCGACCCCATGGACTGAAGCCTGCCAGGCTCCTCTGTCCATGGGATTCTCCAGGCAAGAATATTGGAGTGGGTTGCTATAGCCTCCTCCAGGGAATCTTCCTGACCCAGGGATGGAAGCCAAGTCTCCAGCACCGGCAGGCGGGTTCTTTACCACTAGTGCCACCTCGGAAGCCCATTAACTCCCACACATGCCTCACTTCTCGGCCTAAGCCTCACTTCCGTGGGAAAACATGCTGGTTGCCCCTGTCAGGAGCCCTCATGCATTCCTTCGCTTCCTTCCTACCAGTTTGTAATTTCACCCTCATTTAGGTGAGAATCTAATTCATGGCCAACTCACCATCTAAGCCAGTGGTTCTCAAGTGGGGGCTCCCCAGAACTCACCAACAGCATGTGAGGTGAAACTATTAGCTGGGCCACAGTCCAGATCTACTGAATCAGAAGCTTGACATGGGAGGCAACAGCCTCTGTTTAGAAAGCTCTCCAGGTCATTCCGACACACATAGCAGGTTGAGAACCACTGCCCAGGTGTTCTTCACACCTTGGGGGATCCCTGGGACCCAGCACAGGGACAAAGACAAGGGCTTGGCAAACAAAATTAAGGACGCAGGAGGGTTTCCTGATCTGCAGAATGGTGAATGACATTCCACGACCTCTGACCTGCAGAAGCCTCAGAATCAACATGCAGCCTGCCAGCAGACCTGAGTTTCAGTCCCAGGTCCCCAGCCCTCCTGGGCTCAAATTCTTGGTCTTTGTAGCTTCTCACCTGTGTGATCATTTGCCTAATTTCTCTTGGTCTTAACAGGCTCACTTCTAGAATGGGAATAATGATAGGAGCTATTTCCTAGGACTGCTGAGACACTTAAGTGAGACAAGGAAACAGACTCACCACACATGGGGGAACCGGCAGCAAGTTTGAACCCTGTTACTGTAGTCCTAACAGTAATTACACAACTTGAAGCATTCTTCCCCCTGGGGTCTCCGCTTCCTGATACAAGACTGGCATACACTTCAGAAGCCATGTTCCTCCTTGGCAAACTACTTGCATCTAACAGCACCCAGCTGGGCTGCAGACAGGCCAGGTCTCAATGACTGCGCATCTGCCTAGAGCTCAACTGAAGCCACGTCCGGAGGCCCCCTCAACTTGGGAGTCAGACCTCGGTAACTCAACCGGTGAGCAGGTGTTTCGTCTCAGCGTGGATCAGCCTCGTGGCTAGGATTCAAACGAGCTCACACTTGGTCCAATTTTGGTACTTGGGGAAATATTAATAGCATCAAGGAAAACACATTCCCATCCAATAGGTTTTTTTTTTAAAGGGACGGTTTCCCCTTCTAAGACACAGGGTGTACCACCTGCCAGCAAAGTGTCCCCTTCTGCTCTCTGTCCCGCAGCCTCTGGGAGTGATGACAGGGGAACCACACAAAATGGAGCGGCGCCGAGACCCGCCCCCCTCCCCCCCGCCTCCCCGCGGTGCGCCTCGGCTCTAAGTCGACCCGCACCCTCAGAACACAGGCGCGGGGAACCCCTGGCGCATGCGGACACCTGGGCTCGGGGACCCACTTCTTGGCGCCAGTACCCCTGGAGTGGACAACTGGGCGCGGGGAACCCCTGGGCGCCAGGACCCCCCAGGTGCAGACACTTGGGGGCAAAGAGACCCCCCCACCCCGGGCGTACAGACACTTGGACGCCAGGACCCCGGGGCGTCAGACCCGTGGGCTCCAGGACCCTTGGGTTCGGCAGCGGGCCGGCGGAGTCAGGCGACACTGGGCTCCCAGCAGCCAAAAGCTAATTGTCCTGGGAGCAGACAGCCGCGATGGGGGCTCTGCCAGCAGACAGCCCTCGCAGCCCCGCGTCCCGCCCAGCGGCGCCGCACGCTCGGAAGCCGTGGACCGCAGCCCGGTGTGCGGCGGGGCCGAGGGCCGAGGGTCCGCGGTTCGGCTGGCGGCCGCGCGCGTAGCGTGAGGGAGCAGGCCGCGGGCGAGAATGAATGGCCGAAGCACTCACAGGCCACGTAGGCGAGCAGCGCGATGCCCAGCAGCAGCTTCATCCTCCTGCGGCTCACGGCGGACGCTAGGCGAAGAAGCGGCTGGCTCAGCATCCCGGGCCGCGCGCTGCGGCCGCCCGACTCCGAGCGCGGCGGCGGGGGCGGCCCGGAGGCCCCGCCCCGCCCCGCGCGCGCTTCCTGCCGGCGGGGTCCGCGCGCATGCTCCGCGTTCGCCCCGCCTCACCCCGCAGGCGCAGTGCGGCGGCCCCAGCGGGCGGCGCCTGCGCTTGCGCGAGCTAAAGCGTGTAAGCCGCGGTAGGCGGTGCGCCTCAGACCTGGATACCAGCGCACCAGGCAGTCGCCGGGTTGGTTTGTTCTATATTTAGGCAGGTGTTTGGAGTTCTTTACCCGCTCACTCTGAAAGTTACCTGTTCTCCCGGCTTCTTTAGCTGAAACAGCGGCAACGATTAGTCCCTTACATATCACTGATGTCCAGATTACGTGCGTTCCCCCCTCTGATCGTCTAGGACGTCATTCTTTGAAAAATAAGGCGTTTATTATTATTATTTTAAAAAGTACTGCTAGTGATGTAGAGTGAAGATAGACTAGGAAGGAAAGGACCGCGCTGTCTGCCTGCAGCAAAACGGATGCCTCGTTGCAAAAGAGTGAATGCACTAGCCATAACTATGCGCCGAGAGCACACGGATGCACGCACTGTCCTGGCTCATTTCTTCCATAAGCGGGTATTGCATGCCTGCTCCGAGCGAAGAGCTGTGCCCAGGGACGCACTGATGCCGAAGGAGTTCTGGACCCGCGGGGAGCTGGGCCTCTGGCGGGGGAAGACAGGTGCGCGCAGACCTTAGCCAAACCAGGACTGGAGCGACCCGGGGGGAGACCCCAAGTGCGGGGGATACAGGCTGACATTATAGACCTTGCAGGGCGGCCCGCAGCGCCTCTAACCTCTGTGAACGCCGGGTGCTTTTGCTAAACAGTCGAATGCCCTTCTTCAACTTTGTTATAAACCTCCGAGAAAAATAAGCATCACAATTAGCAATAAATCAAAGCAGTAATTGGTTACATTTTTCTAGCTACTCAGCACAAATGCCATGACTCTGTGATTGTAAGACAGCCTTCCCAGTTCCAGGCCTCCCCATTAACCTTGAGAACTGTGGAACAAGAGGAAAATTGTTAAGCCCTTTCCCAGAGGATGATACTCACATCTGATGCGGCCTCCTGTCAGGACGCCCACTGCCCAACACGCTCTCAACCCATTCCAGTATCCAAGAAGGCTGCCAGGTGACACTTCCTTTGGAGACAGACAGAGACCACCTGGGTGGGCTTCCAGGTGAGCACACCAGCCAAGGACAATTTTCTTTTTGTCCGGGAGTCCTTTTTCCTTGATGACTCCATAATAATGAATCCATCTGACAAGCAGAAGACCCCAATTCCGTCCCTGAGTGGGGTAGATCCCCGGGAGAAGGAAATGGCAACCCACTCCAGTGTTCTTGCCTGGGAAGTCCCATGGACAGAGGAGCCTGGTGGGCTACAGTCCATGGGGTCAAAAGAGTACAACACAACTTAGTAGCTAAACAACAACAACAGCAACTTTATTTCCTCATCATTAACATTTTAAGTTTGGGTTAAACCTCTAATTTTTCAAAAGATGTATCTAGAGCATGTAGTGCCCTGAGCTCCTCTGATCCTATGATTTCATGATTTTTATTTTACTTTTTTATTTACCATGGTCACTTTATTCTTCTAATTTTTTATTTTATATTGGAGTATAGTTGACTTACAATGCTGTTTTGGTTTCAGGTGTACAGCCAAGATTTAGCTCTACATATATATCTAGGGCTTCCTGGTGGCTCAGTGGGAAAGAATCCGCTTACAATGCAGGAGACATGGGTTCAATCCCTGGGTCAGGAGGATTTCCTGGAGAAGGAAATGGCAACCCACTCCAGTATTCTTGCCTGGAAAATCCCATAGACAGAAAAGCCGGGCAGGATACAGTCCATGGGGTCGCAAAGAGTCAGATACAACTAAGTGACTAAACCACCACCAGACATATATCTATTCTTTCTCAGATTCTTTTCCCATTTAGGTTATTACAGAGTATTGAATAGAGTTCCCTGTCCTATGCAGTAGGAATTCCATGGTTTTTAGGTAAAAAGATGAGCAGCAGAGATATGAGAAAAGATTAACATTTGCCCTAAGGCAAAATCAGATAGAAGCTGTAAGTGGATTCCAAGCTTTTTGGGTGTAGGTGGTATTTCACTGATATATATTTATCTGTTCAACCAGGCCAGATATTGTGAAACACATGTTACCAATGCACAAAAGTCCCTAAATCCAGCTTTCCTACCTGAGCCTCCTTTCCACCACCAGACACTGCTGCCAAGGTCTCCTGCCCCAAGGGATGAAGTGTATGGGAACACCATCAACAATTACATGTAGGTTAGCTGCTGCTGTTGGAGAAGGCAATGGCACCCCACTTCAGTACTCTGGCCTGGAAAATCTCATGGGCGGAGGAGCCTGGTAGGCTGCAGTCCATGGGGTCGCTAAGAGTCGGACACGACTGAGTGACTTCACTTACACTTTTTACTTTCATGCATTGGAGAAAGAAATGGCAACTCACTCCAGTGTTCTTACCTGGAGAATCTCAGGGACGGGGGAGCCTGGTGGGCTGCCGTCTATGGAGTTGCACAGAGTTGGACACGACTGAAGTGACTTGGCAGCAGCCGCTGCTGTCCTTGTGACCCCTCAGGGGGTTGTGGGTGGCCCTGACCCTGATTTTCAGCTCAACCAAAGCCAGAATTTGGGAGTAAGCAGCCGTAAGTGCTTGCCCAGCAGAGATGAGAAGGCCCCAGGGAAGGAGGCGCCACCTTGGGCTCTTCAGGGAAACTGTGGGCTTGGGCAGGTCACTTCCCTGAGCTTCTCTTCCCTCTTCTGACTGCCCACACCCTCTGCCCCAGTGAGTTCTGTGCTCAGGTCCCCTTCCTGCCTCAGCCTTGCTATCAGTACTCCTTTTTTTCAGTGGATACATCAATAAGAATATTTCAACAGTGACTACTTAGTTACAAAGCAGTGTTCTTGACACTTGGGATGATTAAAAAATGAATCATAATAGGACTCCTGTCCTAGTGTGTTAAAGGCCTAAGAAGAGGGGACTTCCCTGGTGGCTCAGTGGTAAAGGATCTGCCTGCCAAGGTGGGAGCATGCATTTGATTCCTTTTGCAGGAAGATTAAACATGCCTCAGAGCAACTCAGCCCATGCACCACAACTCCTGAGCCTACGTACCTAGAGCTGGTGATGCTCAAAATGAGAAGCCTGTGCACTGCAACAATGAGTAGCCCCCACTCACTGCAACCAGAGAAAGCCTGTACAAAACAAGGAAGATCCAATGCAGCCAAAAAAAACTAAGAAGAGTAGGGCTTCCCTGGTGGCTCAGATGGTAAAAATCTGTCTGCAATGCAGGAGACCCAGATTTGATCCCTGAATCAGGAAGAAACCCTGGAGAAGGGAATGGCTACTCACTCTAGTATTTTTGCCTGGGAAATCCATGGACAGAGGAACCTGGCGGGCTACAGCTCTTGGGATCACAAAGTCAGACATGACTGAGCAACTAACACTTTTCAAGAAGAGCAGAAAACCTCTGTCTATTCAGTGTCCACCAGGAGCCAGGCAGGGACTGTGATGTGAGACACTTGCATGTGTCACCTCACCCGAGTTCTATTACAGCCCCAAGATGCAGGGTTGCTGATGGGACTGTGCTTAATAGACAGAAAACAGGCTCTGAAAGTTGTCAGTGTCCACACAGCTGGGGTGGGAGGGGGGTGGGGGGATGCTTTTGGGGAGGAGAGCAAAAGCATGCAGAAGACACCATACTTCATGGTAGAAAGTGGTCAGGACCAGGACAATGCAGATGGATGGCCAAGGCATTCACAAAAAAGAGACATCACTCCCTGGGAGTGTGGTTTGCCCAGTTAGCTGTCTGAACAGCTTCCCAGCTCCAAAAACTGAGTGTTCACAATTCTTCCTGTGGGGTGCTCATTCCCATGTGAATGAGCAATTGCTGCAGATCAGGGCTTTTTCTGTTTTTTGTTTTTTGACCAGCACACCTCCCCTTCCAGGTGAGAACAGCAAGAGGGATGCTGTGCAGAGCCAGGGCTACGTGGGCTGAATTTGAAATCACATGTAAGGTTTTTGCTCACACACATTGGGCAGGGGCGATGGGGAGGGAGAGGACCCAATAGGACATAGTGGAACCTGTATGGCTAGAGGAGCAGGAAAAAAAGGTGCAGGTAATGTTGGATAAGAAAGCCTCTAGCAATGTATCTGAGAGTGCAGAAGCAAGGCCTCCAACCCCTGCGCACTTTATCTACTTTTCTTCCTGCTACTTTTCTTACTAAGCCAATGCCTCCCTGATGGCTCTGTGAGTGGTGAAGAACCCGCCTGCCAATGCAGGAGATGCGGGTTCCATCCCTGGGTTGGGAGGATCCCCTGGAGTAGGAAATGGTAACCCACTCCAGTCGGTTTTCCACTTACCTGGGAAATGCCATGGACAAAGGGGCCTGGCAGGCTACAGTCTATGGGGTCGCAGAGTCAGACACAACTGAGCAACTAACACTTTTTTTTTTTTTCTTTTTATATCCAAAGGGTTGGTTGTTGCAAACAGATACAAAGGTTAAGATAAAAGGAACAGATCTGATAGGGAGTCAGGTGTGTTCTTCCTGTTACAATGTGACAGCTTTTCCCTCTGCACCTGCCTGGTCCACCTGGCTTATGTGCCCCAGAGCATCTGAGCAGAGGGTTTTACCGGCAATCAGCCAAGATTAGGTTGAGAAGTAGATCAAGCTGCTGGGACTAGTCATTTTTAAAGTGCTTAATTCTAAACATCTGTAGAACTCATTTTGTTGAAGGACCTATTGAGCTCTTGTTGCTGAGGAGTGGAGGGGAGAAAAAGATGCTGCTTTGGGGGTCTCCTTAAGGCTCTCCCTCTGCATCCCTTTGGGAAGCATAAACTGTGATTTGTATATCCGACTGGTAATATTGTCTCTCCGCTAGAGCCAGGTTTCTGATGAGCAAGTAATAAATTCTGGTTGTTAATGTGCGTGCCAGCTGT